CTTCCAAGCATCTCAAAAAGTCCAGCTTAGTTTGGGACAAACTTTTAGTTTCTGAATAACAAAATAACACCAGAGACTTGAAACCTTATCTATTGTTGTTAAAAGTATTATACTATTACACACTGATGCCATAAACACCCACAGCATCCATTTAACAAATATATCCATTTATCATAACTATTATTGTAACAGTTGTGGCATTAACAACCTGTTGCCAGTGATTTTTTTTTTTTTTTTTTTGGAATAATAGAGAAACTCTCTGCATTAACCAGTATAGAAATCTTTTGTCCGCATCACTACAACAGACAAAAGACAGAGCCGATCTGTCGTGGGGAAGAGCCGATCTGTCGTGGGGAAGAGGGAGCTGAGCCAGAAAGCCAGGCTCTCGATTTACCGGTCGATCTACGTCCCAATCCTCACCTATGGTCATGAGCTTTGGGTAATGACCGAAAGAACGAGATCGCGGATACAAGCGGCCGGAATGAGTTTCCTCCGTAGGGTGGCCGGGCTCAGCCTTAGAGATAGGGTGAGGAGCTCGGACATTCGGGAGGGACTCGGAGTAGAACCGCTGCTCCTCCGGATCGAAAGGAGCCAGTTGAGGTGGTTTGGGCATCTGGTCAGGATGCCTCCTGGACGCCTCCCCGGGGAGGTGTTTCGGGCATGTCCTGCCGGCAGAAGGCCCCCGGGTCGACCCAGGACACGTTGGAGAGGTTACATCTCCAATCTGGTCCGGGAACGCCTTGGGGTCCTGCCGGAGGAGCTGGTGGACAAGGCCGGGGAGAGGACGGCCTGGAGCTCCCTAATTGGGATGCTGCCTGCCCCCGCGACCCGGACCCGGATAAGCGGAGGAAGACGAAGACGAAGACGAAGAAATCTTTTGTTAGATCATATTGCACTTGATATAGCCTCTGCTTCCACTTCAGATGAATCTCTCTGGGCTCCTTTGATCGGTTCCATCACATAGCGAGGGTGGGGGGCCATTGATGTTGTCCTGCGGGATGGTGTGGGTGGGGGGGTGGGGGATCTGAGTTTGGAGTATCCGGATGTTCCCTGGAGGTGGGTTCACTGGGGGTGTCTGGGACTGGGGGGCTGTTGCCCCCCTCTGGAGGTGCTTGGGTTGCCTCGGGGGTGGACTGCTGGCGGTTGTGAGTGGGGCCCCTTGGGGATCTTGGCGGCGGCCATGGGTCACTGCCTGGTGGCTGCAATACCCCTGGGCGGGTCTGGGTGGGGGCCTGGGGCCTGGGGGCTCGGGGTTTGGGGGTGGCCGGCCCCGTGTGGGGATCTGGGCGGGGCCTTGGGGGTCGGGTCCTGACATGTATGCTGCCGGGAAGAAGACAGGAACACGCAGCAGTGCCTGGCCCGGGTTCGGGGGCATCAGGTAGACCTTGGCTCCTCTGCCGTTCCATCACAGGGGAGGGGGAGGTCGAGGACGGGGAGGACCAAACCTTACCTGGATGTCCCATGTCTTATATATTCTGGAAGTTGTGCAAATGCAGGGGTGGGCATAGATATTCTGCTGGGATGGGGCTGGGTTGGTGCCCTCGGACTCCGTGAGGCTCTTTAATGCTGCTGCTTTGGGCCCTGGCAGGATGGGCTGGGGTCTACATGCCCTGGGTGGCAGTTTGACAACAGAGGTACCTATTGGGGCCAGTAGGGGAGCTGGCTCCCTGGAGGGCTAAGCCCAACCAGCCATTCCTCCCCATCCCTGCATATTTCTCTCCTCCTGCTCCCTCACATCATCACACAAACATACACATAGGACCTTGGGGGGTGGGCAAATCAGGGAGTGCGGGTATGGACCCCATTTCCGCATTCCTGTGGCAACCTGCCCCCCAATTTTATTTGCACCTTATACACTTCCACTGACGACATTCCACACAAACACACACTTAGGGCCTTGGGAGTGAGCACATTCAACGGCATTTGGCAGGGGGATATTTCAGCCTCCTCCCGAGTGCCGGTGCCCACTTCCAATTTTAAACCGCACTTAGACACTGATGGCTGAGGGTGTAAGTGGGGTGGTGCGGTGGCATCAGCTGGCATATGCCGGATGATGCCTGCACTGCCCACTCACCACAGCCATGGAATACACCTCATGATCACACAACACTATATTGGAGCAGGTGGAGGGAGACTAGGGGTCTTAGCCACCTCTGTTGTTGCTAGGCTTCCTGGGGCTGGAGGCTAGGAGGGAGATCTGGCCGTCTGGTTGGGGTCTGGGGTGGTGGGTTGCTGTGCTCAGCGTTGGGCGGGGGAGCCTGCTCATCAGCACCCCAGCAGAAAGGGTCAAACTCTGGTTACCGGTGATGGTTGTACCCCATGTGCAGCAGTACCGGGACCAGAGTTAATAGGGTGTGTATGGGGAGCATGAGTGAGTGTCCGGCGTGCATTTTTGTAAGTCTTGGGTTGTATGTGCATGTGTGAGCATGAGGGAGGCAGTGTATGACTGTGTTTGTGTATGACTGTATATGTCAGGTGGGGCCTTTGGGTCCTCCCCTCTCCTGGACCTTCTCTTGATGATATAGATCTTTGTCCGCCCTCCCCCTGCCACACTTGGTGTGGGGGCTTGTGCCATGGTCTGCCTGAGTGTTCGTGGCAACCGGGTCTGGGGGTTTAAGATTTTGGCATCTGCCTGATAGATCCCGGTGGCTGCCTGGTGGGGTCTTGGTCCCTGGGCTCTGCTGGGTCCCCGGCGGGGGTGGTCGCCCCTGGGTCCCGGGTCGCTGGGTCCCGGGCTCGGCCGGCTAGGGGGTGGGAGGCTGCGGGCGGGCCTGTGGGCTTGCCGCTGATATCTCCAGGGACTCTGCCGGCTGCTGGTTGTGGCCCCCCGGGGCGATCCTCTGTACCTCTCGAGGGGGGCGGGGGCCTTTCTGGTTGCAGTCTCCTTGGGGTTCCTGCATTCTGGGGCAACGCCTGGATCTCTGGGACTTGGAGCTCCCCCCGTCTCCTGCGCATATTTGGGGGGCGGATCTGTGGTCCCTCACACTCTCTGTTGGACGCTCCTATAGAGAAACCTTACATAAACAAGCGCATGTACACACACAGGTGCTCACATGGTGCTCTCAAAAGTATGGGCTTGGGCACGTTCAACACATGTCTTAAGACTATGGGGGGCACTTAATGCATTGTGATTTATTATCGTGATTCTTCAGTTGCAATGTTGATTATATATATATGTATTGTTTTTTTTTTGTTTTTTTTTCATCAAGTTGATGCAGGGATAGGTAGATCTTGTTGTATTGTTGTTGTGTCCCTTTTTTGTATCCTTTTGTTTTGTTTTTTTTTTGTCTTTTTCTGCAGGTCTAGAAGCAGACTCTTGTTCATTGTTTATTTTTGTGGAACTCCCCCCCCCCCCCCCCCCTCTCTCTCTCCACCTTTTCTCTTCCTTTCTCTTTCACCTCTGTCTCCATGTCTGGTCGGAATTACAAAGCATTCAACAAAAATAACAATAAAGTTTTAAGTATCAGGCGTGACATTAAAAGCAAACACTTTGATGCTCCACCTGAGAATAAATCTGTAAGGCTTGTTACCAGCATTCAGACATCAATTCTGCTTGCTTCACAGCCAGACAGGACACGGTAAAAAAAAAAAAAAAGTTGCCAGTGATTTTTAGCTGTAGCTCATACTGGGAGCCCTACTTGCTGTTTTATGACCTAAAATGGGACCACGAGCCCAACTTTGGGAACTGCTGTTCTGTGATTTATACAATCACGTCTCTCTGACGGTGCCTGATTTTGGATAAAAGACTGAATCAGTACTTTTCTGACACAAAATGAACAGGTTTAACAGTAAAAGGACGGCTTAGCAGTAACACTCTTGTGATAACGGCTGTTTGAAGCTTTAGACGTGTCATAAAAGCTGAGATATGTGTCTCTGATTCATGGAGGTCTGCGATCAGAGCCGCATTACCTTCCACACCTGCTTTCATTTCATCCCCGCATCTTGTTCTATCAGCATCAGCCCCGTAGAAAGTCATTGCTCCGCCAGAGTCTCAGTGTGGCCGAAGCGTTACACCAAAGAAATCTGATATCAGGCAGCCATCTGTCACCGTGGTGATGCAGCCTCAGCCGGACAGGGACCAGTAGGTAGGCATTCACTACTACATCTTCTCTCACCCTCCAGAAGTACCATCATCATGGTTTTAGACTCCGAAGCTTCAGCATTACTGCAGCAGGTAAACCAAGCAGCAGATGGCAAGAGCCCACAACCCACACATGGGCACGCATACAAACGGATCATTCTTCCTGAGAACATACAGCAAGCATCAGCATATGTTCTGAACCTTGCACGCACACACACACACACACACACACACACACACTCACAAACACATGCAGACACACCATGCTCTCCAGAAGTCAGGTTTACTTGGTTTCATTATCAGCATGATCTCAACAACAAGACTCACTGTTTATCCCACATTCCCCACCTATTAGCCAATAAGAAGCAGCCCCCCCTCACCCCCCCCCCCCCTGCAGATCATTTAAGTTCTGCTGAGGTAAACCGCAGCCGAACGCTGCAGCGAGCAGAGATGAATCTGACCATAAAAAAGTCCAGAGGCTTTTTTTTATTATTTCATTATATTTCTGTTTAAGAGAGAACTAACATTAGAGTTGGGAGCCATGTTTAATAATTAGTGTGACCCTGCATTTAGCTGAGCTGATTAATGAACATTTAAGATTCGCATCATAATGTGGATCTTAGCCTTGAAGTTTCCACTAACAATCATCTAAACTTTTTCAGTAAAAACTGAAAATTATTGAAGACTTTTAATTAAAAATGTGCCTAAAGAAGAAAAAATATATCTTTTTAGTTATTGTGTTTGAATTTAAAGGTTTTACTTTGATTATCCTTGCCACGGTTTTACTAAACAGGTTCAAATAATGTAGATTTTATGTGTTTATTTTTTATTTTATTTGCTTATGTGACCCTCTGGTGTGAAATTTGTCTACAAATACTTCTATTTAGCAGAAACAAAGCAGGAGATGACGCGTAGCACGTTAGAAGAAGCAGTGTATAGCTTTATTATGATCTATGTACAATATTTACAGTATGATACAGCAACAATACAAGGTTCTGCTACACAGTCAGGATTGCACGGTTGCAGAGTCAGGCCTCGGCGGTCGGTACCGTGGTTAGGAGACACACAACTGAGTACAGCAGATACAGCGTACATCTTTGGCTTCATGGGCACAACATAGACACCGAGAGCAGAGCGCAAACTTCAGATTACAGGAGTCGTGCCAAAATGCTTTCCTTCACATCTGCACAGCTGTGTGGGGAAAAAAATCACATTTATCTCATTTGAACTCATTTTGTTTACAGATATGATTCCCTTCTCAAATAATACTGGTTCTTAGGTTCTCCTCCTGTCAGCACGCAGAGGCCGAGGTTACAGCCCGCTGCAGGTGAGGGACAGAGAAGCCGAGAGGACAAAGATAGAACGAGAGATAGAAAGAGGGAGAAGCGACATGGTGAGATAGGGGTAGAGCGACGAGAGCAGACAGAGAGATGAATACAGCGGGGTCGCCGAGGTGAGGAGATGGTGTAATGATTAGATCACAGATACCCTTGAGCCTTCCACCGATCCCTCCTGTGCTAAAAAAATAAATAAAATAAAAAGGAAGCGTATTGGGAGGAGAGGAAGGCCTGCAGCTGTAAATGGCCTCGCTGTTAGAGTTCGACTGGGTGGAGGAGTGGATTAACGTGGGAGAAGCTCAGGTTGTGCCTGTTTTGGAATAAAGACCTCCAAAATCCCTCCTGAAGATAGAGATGTGAGGATCTTTGGTTTGGGAGCAGGTGCAGTAAAACTTTTCAGGAACAGCTGATGAGGCAGCTACAATTTATGTAAAAAGGACTTCATGAGCGGGGTTTTTACAAAAAGGTCTATGTGGGAGTCATGTGACTCTACGGCTTGTTTTTATTTGATTATTTCTTTCTCTCTCATGTCCCAGCAACAGGTCCGAGGCGTCCAGCTGCCTCCTGGAATACTAATTATGATGTCACCTCTAGACCCAAGCAACCTGAGGCTCCATTTAGGATGCTTCCATCTAGTGGTCACTTAATGACACTGTTGATGAGCTAAAAGTGGAGGGATGTCAGAACGCAAAAGCACTTTAATGGAATCGGTTTCTTTTTTTCTCTCTCTCTAATTGTGGTAAAACAATCTGACAGAAAACACAAAAACTCAGAGTGGGGGCTCTGGCGGGAGGTGGTTAATGGTTCTCAATGACTCTATTAAAGTCACACAAAAGCAGATCTTCACATGAAACGCTCAGTTGAGCCGTGGCACATGCCCACTGGCATCAACACAATGAAGGCATGACAGGAGAGCGAGGGAACTTTGAAACTGAGCAGCGCCTCGGGGCTGTTTTTAAACCAGATATCTAGTTAGTCACAACTCAGCTGCTCTGTGATCCGGGTTAAACTTCAGTTTACACTCAAAAAATGACTAAACATACTTCAGTGTCTATGACTGAACATGTGTGCGTGACAGCTCCATACACACAAACACCCCAGTCGAAGTTTCAAATAGTGTTTTGACTGATGTGTGAATCAAACTCAGGAAATGAGTCAGTAAAACTCCCAACTACCAGCCAGCATACATATGTGGGCCCCATATGGAATACAGGAAAAGCGTATGGGGCCAAAAAGGGTTTTCATAGGGGCCCCACAGGTGATTGCCCACAAAAAATGTAATGAGCTCATAAATGAGTCCAACCATCTGGGTCCCTCTGAAAACCAATGTAGAGCCCGTCTATAGCTGTGTTTCCACTACGAGGGTCCTGAGAAATTTCTGGGAGGGGGAAATATGACCAGGAGACATGACACCTCAGTCCTCTCAGATGTTGTGTCCCCATACAAGAGCAGGACATTGCTAAGATATCAGCATTTCATGACTGCTTTGGCAGTGAGTGACATCACTGGTCAGCGCCAAAAGGCGTCCACAGCCATTAAAACATTCAAAAAAGTTTTATTCTGTCAAAGTTTGGCGTAAATGAATCAAGTCTGAGAACAGAGAGATTGGTCTGTGTGATGTAAAAAGCGGTGTTCAATGACCAGAAGAAGCTCCATTTTTAGTTTCATAAAACAGTACGGTGAATTTCAACGCCGCGGGAGGATTTCCGCCACACTTTTTGGTGTTGGGAGTCTAGAAACTGCGATTTTAAGGCAGCGTGAACGTCGCTTCTTGTCTTTGTTTTCCAATCTGCTTAACCAGCAACCAGTTTCCGGTTTAACAAATGATATTTGGTGATGTCTGTCATGCCATTTCCTACTGTTTCACAACTAATCTGCATTAGCTGACCACAAGTCCCATTCAGTGACTCTACCACTTGGTTGGTTCCTGAAAAAGCCCAGAAAATGGTCTTTTGAGCCAGCCCGGTGAGAAGGAGACACAAGCATACTACAAGTTTCAGTATTATTACCCTGGAGTGGAAACGGGCCTAATGTGGGGTTACCATGGTACCCACAAACAAAATATGTTGGGATGCTTACAGTTTCCCAGTATAAATTCCATATGTGACCAACCCTGGTTAAAAAAGAAAAAAAAAACAGCATAGACTGGCATATGTAGTGTCTTGGTGGACTGGTGGATCATAGGTTGCTGATCCGGCATGGGATGTTGGTCTAGCATACAAGTTCAGCATCCAGTTACCCAGACTGCATGCTGGACCAGCATTCCAGCATCCAAAACACAACTTATGCTGTTTTTTTCACCCATGTACGCGGTCTGGGACGAGACAAAAGGGCTTGATATTACTGCAGTTTGTTTGTTAAGGGTTAGGGTCTGAGAGCATCTCAACTGTTGGTGACTAGTTAAGACTTTAATTGGGAGAAAATGTGCACAATATGATTTGGAATCACAGTAAATTGGTAAATAAGACTTTTATGAGGAGTTTTAAGATCACGTTTGGGTCAAATATCAAATAACTGCAAACATTCATGCAATTTTTTAATTCAATTTATGAACTAATTTAATCATTTTTTAATCAATTTGCTTTACATGTTGCAAGCATTTTTCTCACCGACCTCTCCCGTAGATGCCAAACATATCTAGAACATTCTGTCTCATAGATTTGGTGAAATTTGTTTTGCATTAATAATGTCTAAATGTGAGATCAAAAACCTGCAACTCCGCCAAAAGTTTTGAAACCATTTTGAAACATGCATAATTTCACCAACACTCAGGGCCCAACTGTTTTCCTTAATAAAACAAATCTAGACCTGCAGTCACCATACAGAACACCATCAGCCTCCAGTCCCTCTGACTTGAGACCAAGACAAAAATCAAAGGTCTAAATCAAACCGATGCAACACAGCTGTTCCTGAGAAGGTCTCCCAGGTGCCACGGCTCCCTCCCCAACAAGCTCCTAATACCTGTAATAAGATAAACCCTCAGCAAACATGCGGTTGTTGACAGAGCTGGCCTGATAAGATCGGAGGATCGCTCTCGGCCGAGAACACTAAAAACACGAGAGGCCGGCTCGCAGATAAAAGAGGGGGCAGGAAAACAGGAACAACAGCGATCAATCGCTGGCGTAGTGGTGCTATCCAACACCATCCCTCTCTACTGTCATCATCTTCAGTAAGCGTGTGTGTGAGGTGATCGCAATCTGAAGAAGGATGGTGTGTGTGTGTGTGTGTGTGTGTGTGTGTGTGTGTGTGTGTGTGTGTGTGTGTGTGTGTGTGTGTGTGTGTGTGTGTGTGTGTGTGTGTGTGTGTGTGTGTGTGTGTGTGTGTGTGTGTGTGTGTGTGTTTGTGAGAGAGAGAGACAATCTGGGTCACCAAGTCATCAATAACAACCTGCTTTGTTGAACAAACACAGCCAAGGTCATAACTGACTGAAATCCCTTTGGATGGAGACGAAGATGAAAAGAAAGACAGAAAAAAACTTTACAGTGTGGTTCTTCTTCTGTGCTATTCCCTGATGGCGTGGAGTGAAGGATGAATGGATGGATAGACGAGTGCATGAGTGGAGTAGCAGCATCTGAGGATTCACTCGTGACAGTTTTGGTGACACCTGACTTGGCAGGTGGGAGTTGAGGAGGGGTGACTGCTGCTGGCCGGGGTTACAGCAGGAGAGAGGGATGGATTATGGATGGATGGATGAGAGGAAAGGAGGGAGAGGAAGTATTCTCCACTGACAGTCAAGCTGCTTGTTGGTGGACTCAGTTAGCCACACAGAGTCAACCAGAACGTCTCTGCAGCCCTTGTGTCCGCCGAAGGCCGTTGGATGGTTTCAGGCAACAGCGTGAAGGAGAGCTAAACGTCTGCATCGCTCTGAAAGGTACGGCTGGAGCGGCTCAGAGGAGCTAAGCTATTATTCCAATCTTCTTCCCAGGATGGAACTTTTACTCCTCAACCTCCTCCACGTAGGTGGATGGAAACCAGCCGACCTGATGGAGGGAAAGGAAACAGAGATGATCCAATTATGTTACTTTAATTAACATTTGCTCTGGAGCAGAAGCTACTGAAGATGAGTTAGACTGGCACACTTTAGGAACCACTGCAATAAATGGTACAAGAATGAAGCAACGCTGATTCACCCTCATTGGATAAAGTCTTTAAACAGATATGTCAGTTTCAGTTAGTTTGGTTCTGACTGGTGCCAAAACAACTTCTCATGTTTTACTAGTCTGGTTTCATAAGAAACATCAGATCCAGTTTTAGTCTCTCCACAGACTTTTGATGCACCGTTTAGTTTGTCTTAGAGGAGAAAAACGCACACGATACGGCTCAGCAATGTGCAGCACATGGAGGGAGTCAGCATCTTCTTCTGGTCTGAGCACTAGGACTGTTTAAGCCAAGTGATCACACCGGACAGAGGGAGGGAGGGAGGGAGCAGTTGGCAGGAAACCATTATGGATTTAAACATTAACAGGACCAGCTGACAAACATTTTAGAGAAGTGATACGCTGATACCGAAAGCTTCTTCCTGGGACACATTAGACCAAAATGTCTGCTGAAGCTCAAACTGAAAATAAATAAGTTAATTCAACTTTCCTTTAGTTCATAGATGAATAATGAATTCCTAGAGTCCAGAACTGTACAGATCTAACTCCCTCTGATTTCCACTGACCCTGCTGTTGACTTCGCCCCTCCACCAGCCATTGGAGCCCGTCTTGGTGTAGATCTTCACCACCTCTCCCTCCTGCAGCGACAGCTCCCGCGTGTCACGAGAGCTGAAGTCGTACCGCGCTATAGCCATTCCGATAACTTTGGGAGTTAACGCTAAAGGAAAGATAAAAAAAACTGGTTAATGTTACGTCTTTCTGCATTTACTCACTATCACAAACATGTACATGCCCACACACACACACAGCCCCACCAGTGCAGCTAAAAGAGTTCATAACGCGTGGTTTTAAACTGAACAAGTTTCATCAGATTTATTTTAAATAGTTTTAACATATCTTCTACAGTTGTTCCAACCAAGATCTTGTTGTCCCTGATATGAAGTCGGAGTCATTTAAGATTAAGTATCTTAATGCTGGTGAAGGCTCTCAGTCATCCTGGTCATGGTGGTCCAGGGGGGTTCGAATGAAGGCGACTGGACTTCTTTGGTTTCTTGAAGACGTTTCGCTTCTCAACCGAGGAGCTTTGTCGATTCTGACTGGAATATAGGAGGTCCATCCAAAAGACAAGACACCCAACAGAAGCTAAGTGGTGTCATCATTTATGCAGACCAATGAAGTGAGGACTGTCCAGCACTTTATTTAGGGAAAAGTAAACAACAACTACACAAGCACATGACAGAAAACAGGAGAGTCTTGAAGGAGTTCCCAGAGGAGTTTAGCACTTGTTGGCCCCTTTGTAAATGGTCATGGTCAGGAAAATAAAGAAAACACATTAAATGAGACAGGTGTGTCCAAACCTTTTGTCTGTATTGCATGTCAAACGGGAAAAAAAAACTTTACATAGAGGAGGAGGTCTTAAGGTTGGTTTATGCTTGACGTGTCCGCAAGGTCCACACGGCTCCGCACGGCGAAATTGCATCATTTTAACAACCACGCCCCTCCACCGCATCTCTGCACGGCCCAAAATTTCCGCAACGCGCACCTAGGAAACTTTCTAACCACGCGGACGGTCTGACGCAGAAAAACATGGGGGACCGGCAAGAACTAGTATGGCAGAGGTTCGTAAATACAGACATTTGTATGATTCAGCTCTCAAAGATCACAGTGATCAACATGTTGTTAATAATTCTTGGAGAGAAATAGCTCGCACTGACGGAAAAGACGAGGACGCTGTTAAAAATGCTGGAATGCCATGTTGTAAACAGTCATTTTTACTTCTACTATGGTGTAGTGTTGGATGCATGTCATAGAGCTCCATGCTGCCCCGTTCAGTTTGGGAGAATATTGGCTCACCGCAGAGACGAGCCGCACGAACCATAAATGCTGCGAGTTGTGAAGCGCGTTCCATCCGCGAGTCGCATCACCAAGCGGAAAGTGAATGCGTCAAGCATAAACCAAGCTTTAGATTTCACCTTACCAGTACCTATAATGCAGCTTTGAATCTCATTCCTAAGCAGTTTCAGTCTAGGTCACACCTTCCTCCATCTAATCAATACAATGACTCCCTCACAATAAGAGACCAATGGCTCATCAGAGGGTAGGGAGGAGGGGTAATCAGGTAGTTTCTGCTCTTAAGCCTGAGTCATGCTTCTGCATCTGCGTCAGTGCGGAGACACGCAACGCCATTATCCGTCCTTGCGGGCCTGCTGGAGAGTCCTCGCAAGGACGGACGGAGTCGAGCTCTCTTTTCTAAACATCCGTCCGTCGAGACGGAGAATGCAAGCTTGTGATTGGTCAGGGCACCGCTGTCATCTACACCGCCGCCATTGCGCCCTCAAAAACATAAAGAGAGACAAGAATAACTAGTAGCAGACACGGAGAAGCTTAAAGAATACCTTGTGAAAAAACTCTAAATATATGAATGTTTAAATCCCCCGTGACTGGAGGAGTGAAAAGATGCGCTGCAAGCATTTTAGTTGTGGACGGAAATGACAGGAAACGTGGGTTTAGAGGTGGCGAGCCCATGAAGAGGTGGAGGAGAATGAGGGACACATTTGTCCGTGTTAAAAAGTCTCTCATATACAAAAAATCACAATATTAACACACTATCTTGGACCGGATACATGACAGGATACCACAGAACAGCGCTACGCCCTCTGTTGTCCTGGCGGGGAATTGTATTTGCAACACTCCCCAGGAGACGGAGAAGTATGAGGGCTAAATATCTCCGTCCGTGCATGTCTCTCCCTGTTGGAGCTGACGGAGAAGCATGAATCCAGCTTTAAACAACAACAGACAGCTACAGTTTATAAGCTTGACTCTCCCATATTCCAGTCAGAACTGACAAATGTCCTCAGATGAGAAGCAAAACTTAAAAAATTAAACCAACTCAGATATTCTGAAGAAGGAGTTTCATTGGCTGTTGGCCTCCTTGAGCTCCTGACAATAATGGTTCTGTCGTGTGGTTGAGCAAAGAGTTGGAGATGTTTTAAGGCATAGGAGAGGTGAAGGCATCAGGAAATGGTGCACTACGTGAAATCAGATCTATCATAAATCAAGATTTTTATAATAAATAAATAAGCAACAAATGTTTTTTTTGTTTGTTTGTTTTACCAGCGCTAATTTACTTTTAACTGCCTCACTATAAAAGAAAAAAACTACATAAAAACTTGGTTCTTTGTAGAAGTAGTCCAGCTTCAGCGCTCTGATACCGGTGTGAGAGATTCGACTTCTCCTTCTGAGGAGACAGCAGTGGGGAGACAGATGTGGAACAGGTAGGCTAGCTCCCACCCCGCTGACTTTCCTCCATCCCAGACACCGACTGCCGGATCGGTCTGGGCTAAGCTGACAGATGGAAATGGAACGTCAGACCTCTAGAACCCAGCCTTGGGGATTGAATATGTAATATAGAGGAGCTCTGTGTGTTTGGACACTTCCACCTTCCCTTTGACGGGCAGACCTATGAGAACACACACACACACACACCATAATGCACATGCAACAGCAAAAGAGGTATTTTCTCCGTGCAGGATGGCGAGTGTGCACACACAAGCTGAGATGGTGCAACAGGAGGATAGATAAAAGATGTAGAAGCTGTGTGATGATGTGAACGGAGCTAAGGCCAGCATGCTAAGCAGCCTGCAGCGTGAGCGGAGAGGCAGACGGAGAGAAGCGATACCTGTACCTGACCAGAAGGGAGCAGAGGAAGGAGGCACAAAGCTGTAGCCAGCAGGAGAAACAAGAGAGATGCCGCAGAGCAATGGAGCTATGGCAGGGCAGGGCGGGGCGGGTGGGGGGAGGCAGGAGCAAAGGAGAAAAAAAAGATGTTTTCAGAAACTTCCAGAGCTGTTTTTTTTAAAAGGTGACTGAGTTTATCAGGAAATAAACAAGAACTTTATTTAATCTGTGTTGGTAAATTATTTACGCTCATTAGTCTGCTGGGAAAATGTAGAACACAATTTATTAACAATGTTGAGTCAAACATGAAGAATTGAAGCTTTTGTGGGTCTTATGACTTGGTTTTGTAAAAATGTCTTTAGCCTTCAGTCGTTCTGTAGTTTTAACCCTTTTAAATTACATTTTAAGTTTCTCTAACCCTTACCCTGTTGCAGCAGAAGATAAGCCAAACAACTCACCACTCATGCATTTTAGTCAGAGTGGTGTTACATTAGTCCTCTTCTTGAGAAAATGCTTGCACACTTAAAAAAATGGAACAGACTGAGTTTTTGGACACAGACAGATCCAGCACACTGAGACTCTAGGGAAGAGGTCAAAGGCCAGAGAGTGAAAGTCCACTGCTAAACTTTGCTGCTGCAATCCATCCATCTTCTGTTTCTACTTAATCCAACAGAGCATCATGGTGGTTTGGAGTCACCAAACTCTGACAAATACACAAAATATACCCAAGACAGACCAGAACATCACTGAACACGCTTACGTCCACATCTGAGTTTAAACCAACAAACAACCCAACAGACGTCTGCAGACAACACTAACCACTAATCACGAAGATCAGAGCTTTATCTCTAACGAAGCTGAACCCAAATTTTGAAGACTTTTTTTTATTCAGGTCTTAGTGGATGAAGAATAGAGGTCAAACCAAATGAAGGATGGGTGGCTCCATTGATTAATAACATCGATCTGGGAGCAGCGGTAAGGCAAGGTTAGACAAGAGCTTTATTTATATAGCACATTTTATTCACAGAGTACATTCGAGGTGTTTTTCAGGTGCCAGAGTCTTGTCTTTGTTTAAATGAAGCAAGTTTGACTGCATCCAGAAAGAGTGAGTCTAGAGGACCACAGTTAAAATGTGATAGAGCTCGGTAGTTCTGGGTGTCATCTGCAGAACTATGATAGGGAATGTTGTTGTTGTTGTGTATGACCTGACCCAGAGGGAGCATGTAGAGATATAGGGGCAGCGATCTAAGAATCAAACCCTGGGGGACCCCACGTGTTATGGCGATCTACTCAGATTTATGATCGCCAATGGAAACAACATAAGACATATGATCTGAACCAACAACGGACTGTGTTAGAAACTTTCCACAGCAGCACAAATCTTCCTTTTTCTACTTGATACATGAAAAATGCATCTTTGATTTTTAATTTCCAAATTACGGAGTGTACTCGGTGCCTCTTGCCCCGTGTAGAGGGCTTGGGCAAACTTTTCCTGACACGCCTGCTCTCTTTATGTGAAGACGCAGTGTGTACTGACACACACACACACCGAACAGCTTCTCTGCTATGCTCCTCGCTGGACTCGTGAGATCAAAAAAATTCCTTGCGTTTATAGCATGCGCCATTAAACCCAAAAAAGGAAATCACGTTTGATGTCACTGTTTGATGTCCTATAGGATGTTGTTCCTCCACTGCCAGGATTAAAGCCATGAAAATCACACGCTGCGCTTCTGGAAGAATGCTGGGAGTAAATAAGCCCTTAGGTCACTAATATTGATGTAATCTACATAGATATGAAATTGCATTGCTGAAATAATGTTTTAATTTTCTGAATTACCAGTTTTACACTGAAACTGTGCGTGATTTCCTGTCTAGCCCTATGTTAACTGCAGTCTTTAGCGGTGCGGCGAGCCGCTTCTGGGCTGCGCATGACAATGTCCGCCTTGTGTGGTTAGAATCACCCCCGTAGACTATAATAGATTCTAATTTGAAGCAGCAACGTTCTACTTCCGTTCTGCACCGCTGATGCTTCCAGTGTGAAGTCTGGGTAAGATTGCCCAGAAACCTCTAAGTGTGTGTCAGTGTAGGAGCAACATGAATGCAGACCTACACACCAGCACCCACAACGCCAGCTGCTCTTTACGTACTTCATATTGAAACTGGAACAGACGATAGTGACTGAAACCAGGAGCAAACACACAAGCTGCATCATTTTACAGAACACACACACACACACACACTGTTCCACAGAAGCAGGTTTATGCTCTGTTAACTGTTGATGCTCTCATGTTATCAGTCACTTCTGACCTGCAGAATTTGTCCAAGGAACAGAAAGAGAAACACTAATTAGTGGTTTTCCAGCAGTGCTCTGGAAAGATGCCAATCAGAACAACAATCATTTAAATGTGAATGAGAGAAAATGAAATGTGCACTCCAGGAGCGGGCTGCCTACGGGACACAGGACTTCACCAGAACAAAACAAATTTGGACCGGAGCTGTCTCCATTTGTGCTTTGAACCTGTTACAGAACCGCAGGCTCCCACTTCTAAATCCCTGACAGCTGTGTGCGCACTGTTCTCATCTCTAATGCCTAAAACACGATCGACTGCACACAGGCTTCAGATGAAATCTCATTTACAGCTCATTGTGTTGTCAGATCTTTCATCTGTGGGTGGCTTGCATACTGTATAAGGCAAACACATGTACACAGTTTGCTTTTATACCACAAACAGCACTTTGTTCTTTAGCTTTGAGTGTTGAAGATGTTAACAGTAAGCATTTAAGCATTTAACAATGATGTTCAACCTTATTGCTAAAACAAATACCACCCAAGCAACAGAAAACTGAATAAAAGTGATTGATACTGAACACCTTTTCACAAAATGTATTTGTTTTTGCATTTTTGCTTCTTCAAAGCATCTTTCATCCCGATTCCACATTACAAATCCTTCTTATTTGTGTCACAGAGGTGTCTATAATCACTCCTGAGCTGGCAGTTTGACAATACGCTGCTGTTTTATCTGTTGCTTCACTTCAAAACATCACCTCATTACAAAACTTCAGTTACAAATCTCACACACTACAAGTACGCGCGCACACACACACACACGCACACACACACGCACACACACACACACCTGCTAACTTTCAGATCAGAAAGTCTTTTAAAAATCCTCTCTGAATATTGTTACTTTCATTTTGCCCCTGATAAACACAAGACGAATGCTAAGAAGAATCAGGTTGGAGGCTGTGACTGACTCAGGGTCCAGTACAGTTGTGCCTTTCTGAAATGAGGGTGTGTTTGGAGGTGTCGATTCATGAAGTAACAAACAGCTCTTGTTCTTATAAAAGGTAAAATATAGATGTAGCGGTAGTGATCTATAACCTCAACAACTGCTAGTTTAAATATATCAACTAGGGCCCGACCGATATATCGGCCGGCCGATATTGGGGTCATTAACAGTATCGGCTATCGGCCAAAAAGACGGCCGATATTGCGCTACCTATCCAGCAGATGGCGCCAACTTTATGAACTCATGTTGTGTGGCTCCACTCCTTTGAACTTTGAACCCAAATTATTGTTTTGGATCTTTTTTTAAATTTATTCTTATTTATGTTTCTTATGTGCAATTATTTCATGTCCAGGGTGAATAAGTTCACCAAGTTAACTTCCACAGAGTGTTACTTTGTTACAAAGCACAAGTATTACGTTTTATTTATTGCCGCATTTTTATTATTTTAATATTCTTATAGGGACCTTCTGTCCCTAAACGTGTGTGTGTTGTTAGATTCCCCAGAGTTAGCTAAGTCAGAAAAAACATTTTGTAACCAGTTGTTTTAGCATAAAGCAATGGAAGGGAAGGCTTGCATTCACCTACATAAAAAAAAACACTACAATGTGTGTGAATTCACTTACATTGTTTTATGCTAAACTAAGAAAACCAACTGCTGCCAGATCATATTGGGCTGGTTATAAAATGCTTTTTCTGACTTGTCTAACTCTGGGGAATCTTAACAAGACACAATTTTACTGAGAGGTGGAATATTCCTTTAAGTTAAAATGTATTTGTGGAAACCACAGTTTACTGTTGTTTTTGAGATCTGCTAAATACATTTTATTTGCATTACTTGTTGGAAACCCTAGTGAGTTATTGAGACAGTTCTTTGGTGTGTAATAGAGAAATAAATTTGCATCAAAAAGGCAGAGAATGAAGGGTTTAAGCTTAAGAAAATTTCTATTTCTTTTTTTTGTGAGGGAGATTTATCGACCATTATATCGGCTATCGGCCTTTGTTAAAAGTTTTATATTGGTATCAAAAAAAGCATATCGGTCAGGCCCTAATATCAACATCAAAACATAACAAAAGCATAGAAATTAAATATTTTACTGCTATTAGCTCTTTATGTAAACCAGTTTGACTCTCAGGTAAATATATCATTAACAATCATTCAACCCTAATCTTGTGTTAACACACACTGGTATGCTCCAGACTGACAGATTGACATTGTTCCTGTTTAATGGAGGATAATCAGCCAATCAGCAGTGGATACATAATATTTGTATTTATTATTGAAGTCTGTTTTAAATGTTAGTTCATTGAGATGATTCTGCTCCCATGGAACCCTAATTGATCTGATCCTCAGTAATCAGAGTGTTATCAAATCTAATACCATGCTTGGTGGGTTCTCCAACCACCGTCTGACAGCGAGTCAAAAACAATTAACATCACAGGAAGCTGCACGGGTAACAACCAATCACAGTGCAGCTCTGTAAACACATTCCCGTCTGGATTAAAGCAGCATTTGCAAGAGCGGTGTCGTATCTGGATATCATTAATCACTCTGGAGTTTCTAAAGGAAAACTGTTAAGCATGTTTTTATTCCTCTGAGGGTTTTTTTTTTATTTTGACAGTAAAATAAAACTCCAGGGATACAGATCTGAAGAGCAAAAGCCATCCTTTTTTTTTTGTAAACAAAAGCAGTTCACACGCAACAAGGCGCTGCTTGTTAAAACACACACACACACACATACTCCTGTCTGGTTAAAGAGCAACAATATGCAATTGTTTATTATTAATGAAACTAATATCTGTTCGGTGGTTCTGGGTCTACTCACTGTTGGTACTGGACCGGCTGAGTCGGTGCACAGCAGGGTTCTCCTGCTGCCGATAAGGGAACTGCAGGGTGGTGTCCAGGCTCTTGAAGCCCTCCCTTAGTGAGTGGTGTTTGTAGTACTCAATCAGCTCCTACACACACACACACACACACACACACACACACACACACACACACACACACACACACACACACACACACACACACACACACACACACACACACACACACACACACACACACACACACACAAACAAATCAATAAATCATCTGTCTGTGATTTTAGCTCATGAAACCACAGAAATGGGTCTTTTTAGCAGACGTTGTAGATGTTATGACATCAAACATCAGTGTGAGAGAAAACTTTTAAAACTAAATTCTGCTGGCTAAATTCATGTTTTTGTGTAAATAGGACACTTAGAACAGCCTCTGTTTGGGGAAATAGAGTTTACATGCAAGTCTGAGAAAACCAACCTGCACAGTTGTTCTTTTCATTGTAAATGTTTCATTGATTATGTTTTGTGTGCAAAACTATTAAACTACATTTTTCACAGCGGTTCAAGCAAACATAAGAAATATTCTTGCTGGTCTTAGTCCCTGGATGTACCAGGAACGCTACCTTTGGTTGTTGCTGCTAATAACCGCATAATTCCTTGTAGACAGGGGTGGATTGGCCTCTCTGGCATTCTGGCACTGACCCGGTGGGCCGCTTAGCCATGTAGGCCACTGGCCCAGTTTGGGCCGTCCCAAACCAAACCCCCGTCTCACATGCGGTTATAGAGATAAGTTCGCGAGCAGCACACACAACACCCCGTCCCTCCCACCACATTTGGCGGGATAGACGAGTCGCGAGTGGCAACCTCCCCTGCCGAGGGCCGACGGTTAATAAAAATGCCAGGGCCAAAATTTGGTCCCAGTCCACCCCTGTATAGATATTTGACAATAGTATAAATTTTTCTGCAGAAACAGCAAAGTTTAGAAGATAAAACCCGCTTTAAAACGTCAGTGTTCCACTTTGGCCGTTAACTCATCTGTCGTAGGATTCAAACTCTATGTAGCGTTATCTGTGTGCACAAAGCGGATACAGAAGCCTTCAGGCCAGTAAAACATGGATTTAATCAGAAATCTTTTAGGCACACTGTTGGAATAAAGTTCAGCTTTTGACACCGTTACACATAAACAGGATGATTTATTTATAATCTACAGCTGTAGATTTGTATAAAAACAAGAGAATGAAAGGACTCACAAAAATGCCCCTGAACTTCCTGTTCTCTGCGATGTAGTAGCTGCCGTCTCTGGTCAGGATCTTTATGTGCTTCACGTCGTTGTTGTACCTGTGGGCCATTGAATAAGTTATGAGAGTAATTTCCCTCTCTGATCACCACCATCGATCCGCAGCCGGCCTCTGGCCCTCACGCCGGGCCGGGCCATTCCTCTAACCTGCAGACTTCCCACAGGTTCATGACATGAGAATGATGGGTGGTCTGGAGCAAACGTGTGTGTGTGTGTGTGTGTGTGTGTGTGTGTGTGTGTGTGTGTGTGTGTGTGTGTGTGTGTGTGTGTGTGTGTGTGTGTGTGTGTGTGTGTGTGTGTGTGTGCGTGTGTGTGTGTGTGTGTGTGTGTGTGTGTGTTTAACAAAGGAGATCTGCCGTTTTTATGCAGGTTTATCAGCAAACAGGCATATTTCATCCTGCAGAACATGAGAAATGCAAAAAGTTCTACAGTGTAATAAATCAAATCTGATGATATTTTTCTTTTTTTCACTTTTATTTTGCACTATTGCTTTAAAAGTCTTTAAAATATTATTAACGTGCAAAATTAGAACCAAATTCTGTTGTGTAAGAATTTAACTATAAACAAACATAAAATTGTTTGTTTTTTTGTTGTAAAAAATACATTTAAGGAAATGAAAAAGGTTCAAGTATCATTCAAGCAATTCAACTAAATCAGTGACAAAAATTAGTAAAAAAAATTTTTTAAGGATTTGTTTGTTGATAGGTGAAAATTCAGTTCTATTATTGACTTTGTCACACAACTAAACTGTACATTTCAGACGTTACTACAAGAAGTACTTCCTTGGCTCTCACGTTGTCAGAATATTATCATTTGTACTTTAAAATTTGTTTTTCAAGTTAAGAAGATTAATTTTGTTACATGAACACAGTTGGACAAAAATCCTTGAAACTTCTCATTGTTGAATCAGAATCAGAAAAAGCTTTATTGCCAGCACTCCAGCGAACCAGAGCATAGGAACTTGACTCCGCAGCACAGCCTGACCAAGGTTACACACACACATGTAGACAGAACAGATACAGGCAGACCACGAGAGCAGCCATAATGGAGCTCATTTCAATTAGATGAAAAGGGGATTACATGACGATAAATTGGGGGAGGGGAAAAAAGGCATACCAGAGTTACTCCCGGCAGGGCGTAGCTTTACTATGCAAAAAAAAAAAAAAAACACCTCAAACATATAAGCACGAACATCAACAATTCACAACATCAGACACCAAAAGGAGGGGGCGCGGCTGGGATCCTGTTTCCCCAGCGAGAGCAGCCCTGTATGGCGCTCAGCCACTGTAGCCACAGGTGGGAGGGAGATCTTGGGAGGAGCGAAGAGCACATTGACACCTGCAGGTTGATGACCTCGCCAGGCTGAAGTCCACCAATCCGAAGGCAGGGGGGTAGGTCGGGTTTTCACAGCATCTGTCTGCATTCCTTCGTGGGGATTTGTTGTTGGCACTCACAAGGCTGCCATGGCGTCAGATTCGGATAACAAGACTTTGTTTGGGTCAGGCTGAGATAATTTTCCTCTCTGCCTTGAAGTCTGCAACTGATCATTCAAGTCCTCCAGTGAAGCCAATTTTGGGTTTTTAAACCTGTCCATACCGTCCAGTGACCCTCTCCGAGATGACATTCATTTTGCGCACTGATACTGGTAATGCAGCTAGAACATTGTCCATCTTACGATTCACCTCGAGTAACGTTCCAGTCTGTGAGGTCTCCACACGGACGGTGCTTTCCGTGGGTGCGGGTCGCACTCCAATCGCTCCCGTCTCCCCAAATTTCCAGAAAACCAGATATCCTCCCACTCCAATCAGAGAAATCCAGTGATTATCAGGCCAAACATCCACACGTCTTCGACATCCTCAATGGACAACTGAGAGAGGCATACGATCCTCCACTCCCTCCAGGAATCGAGCATATATCCCGCTGTGTGTGTCCCTTGCGGGCAAGTGGGAGCCCCCTCCTCCGTTCTCATCGTAGAAAAAATCTTATCAATCGCGTTGAATGACCAATTAATTAAATCATTCTAAAAAATAGGGGTTTTCAGAAGAAATGCAGAGAAGCGCTCTGTGGGCAGACAGGACAAAGAGCCTTGGAAAAAAAGATAAGGGAGCAAAAGCAGAAGCGTCTGTACTCTACGAGTGCCAGAAGAGAAAAAAAAATGTAATCAAACTATTTTTTTCCCTTTTTTTTATTCAGTGAAATGAAAGGTGTACTTATTTATCTCAATATCATGATATAAAGTTATTTTATTTGCTAAAACCAATTAAAATAACCAAAATTTACTAAATTGAGAAGATAATTTGTTTTTTAAATATCTAGTTTAAGTCAGTGTCTAACCATGTGTGGTTGACTCCTCTCATTTAAACAGAACTGGGATCTTTTGTGCCTCCTCTAAAAGAAACAAAGAAGGCTTTTAAGGTGTGGAACACTTGTTTAATCAACACATTAACAGTGGTCTCTAGCAGGAATAAATGCCTTCTAAGTCGTACTCTGTGTGAAAAGATATGCTGGTGCACCATTTCCAGGAACTAAAAATCGCCCGCATCTTGGCTGAGCTTCAGGCGGCAGGTTTTGGACTCTTATTTCCTGATATTTGGACATCTCACCACAGATTGGATTAACAACAACGTGACTCTACCACTGACTTGCAAAGTGGATACTTTATCTCTACAAATAACACAATCCTGGAGGAGCTTCTGCTGTGCGGTGAAGTTGCTAATGCTAATGGTTAGCTTCTACTAGTTGAGATGTTCTCTGCTGTTTCCTGGACACTAAAACAACGAATGGCCTTCCTTGTTGTGAGTCAAGATGGGCGAGTCCATGAATAATATTAATAATAACAATAATTATAATAATAATAATCATTAAAAATGGGTTTTCAGTGATCCACACCTTTATTTATTTTAATCAGTCAGGCGTAGATGATCTGTTCTGCTCAAACAAACACTGCTTAAAAGAAAACTAACCCAATTAAAGCACATTAAGAGCATGAAGTCCTTGGAAGAATTTGCTGTGAGTCAAAATAGAACGGTGTGATAACATTTAAAGACTAGAAGTAGAACCTTAATATTCGTACGATTTGAATTACAAATCACGGAGATTTTTCTGTGAACTTGGTGTCGAACCGCGCCGATAAGATGTGACCTAACTCACACCTCGGTGTGGTTAACCACAGCTTCTGTCTCTTTTCGGCACATTAGCTCTACAAGAAGCCACACAGCAGCCTTCAGGTCAGATGTGGGGGAGGAGGGAGCTACAGCTGGTCAATAATGTGGTTTGGCTAAAAGATAAAAACCGTGCCGCAGCAGAGAACCAGAAAAAGCTGTCACGCCACAGAAACAGAAACGATTCACAACTAAACACGGAACAAAGAGAAGAAAACCAAACCTGATGTTTTTAGAATTAGCTGAACTAAAAACGGACAAGCTTCCCTCCGGGTTTTTAAGAGAACTTACTTTATACTGATGGCATACTCTGTGAACTCTTTGCTGCGATGGCGAACCAGATAGGTGCTGTTGACCCGGTTGACGAGTTCTGCCTCTGCTTGGAACCTCTCCATCGGACCTGCAAACCTAAAGCAGCACAAGTGGAGGTAGATCTTTTAGTGCTGAGCGTGTGCTGCTGGATGGTGGGAGGAGTTTTCAGCATCGATAAAGCGGTGGGTGACCGGCAAACGTACCAGAGCTGGGACGAGTAATCCACGGGCTTTGGGAGCTGGAGAAAGGAACAAAAGTGGACATGTATGATTTGTTATTGACCTGAAGCTCCTGATATCAGACACACACAAACACATTGGTTTTGTGCTTTTGTGCTCTAACAGATGTTTTTCCACTGACAACCCCAATAAAACAGCTTAATGCTCTCCTTATCTTTAAGTGCTGAGGGATGGTTTGTTATCTGCAGTTTGTTTGTTATCACATTCCTAACGCTGCTGGAAACCCAGAATTTCATTCCATCAAATGGAACATGATGAGGATCCGCTAACAAAATGAACAAAACAAGCTGCTGCATGCTCGTCCAGGCATTCATCCTCCTCGTTTAGTTTCCACATCAAGAGCATCTTAACTTTATGTAATGATTGTACAAAGCATGCCAAGTTCCCTGTTGTTCCTTTCTTGGATGGGCCAGGTAACCCCAGCCCCCCATCCAACATTCCCCACTGCCTCCTCAGTAAGAAGTTGCAGGTCTGTAAGCTTACACATGGACAGGGCCTCACGGCGTCGCTTGGGAAGAAGCCAGCCTCCCTCGTCGACGGAATCCTGCCCTGGAACCACACAGACATAATTGTGTTACGTACATCTGGCCGAGCGCGGCTCCATCATTCAGGAACAATTAGCTCGCAACACAGCGGCTCAAATTTACAGCAGCACTTAACAGTTGTGGAAATAATTCCTGGCAACGAGAGAGGAAGAGTACGAGTTCCTTATTCCTCCCATGGTGATGATGCTCTGAGTTCGGCGCCATGATTTATAAGCACTGTTGAGACGCAGCTACGGTAAAGCCCAGTTTTCTACAGAGCTTATCTCTCTCTACAGATTTGGGCTCTAAACTTAATAAATTACTAAAAAGATGCGTCTCAAAATGTTTTTATGGTCAGTTTGCTGAAAGAATTCCCAAATACTTTTAGAAAAAAAAGATGGATTTGCTATTTTTTTTCTTGATTTTTTCTTGCTTCATGCCTGGCAAATATGAGTACTACTATAGCATTAAGACTTCATCCTGTTCATGTGTTCACGCTGCAGAATGACACGTGCACACACAGACAGTAGCTGCAGGATGAGGCACGAAAGTCAGAATCCCGCCAATCGGCTAAATAGGGAGATAATAGAAATATCTCACGAACCTCTGGATCGATTTAAATTAAACTCTCATATTTATCTACAACTATTCACGTATGGAGCCACCCCAGTTCAAGATGGCCATCACAGCTTAACATTAACAAACAAAAGTCCATTTGACAGATAATGAGATAAAAAGCATTCGTTCGTCACATCCTATAAAAGCTGACAGATTACATGAAATTGTGAATAGGATTATTCGGCCCAAGTTGCTGTAAGAGCTTCATTTTTATCATGAAAAATCTTAACTCATAATCTTAGCTCAGAACAGTATTCATATTTTAGTTAAAGACTTGCAGTCTGTGACTTAAGTGTTTCATGCACTAGGCTCCTGAGCCTGACTCAATCCCTTCTTTACTGCTGAGTAATAAACATGCAAACATAGAAACCATTCATCAGCTGCTGGCAGACTTCAGACCCCCTCTCTGATCAGATTTAGATGTTTTGGGGGGTTCTGGGTGTAGATCAGGTGCCAGCAGCTTTTATGGGACACGTGCACACTCTCAAGAGGCACCGTGAACTACGTCTGCTCATCTCTGCAACCTCAGGATGTCTGAGGAGAACGGCTTTCTGCTGGGTCTTCACCGAGAGCCTGATCATTATTCCAGCTGCCAACATTGACAGAATCCATTAGATGGTTGCTGCTGAATAAAATGAAAATGCAGAGCTTGATTGTATTTGTCACGGAGTCCTAGAGCAGACGTGATTATGGGCTGTTGGCTACAAAAGGTTGATGGATATGAAGTGTTCCGTGAAAGATTTCACACCCATTTAATTTAATTGTTTTTATTATTATAGCGTGTTGAGGGATTTGCTGGGTTTCTCGTTGTGTTTACGGTTATGATGCCATCAGAGGTTTTGTGCATAAGCACTAGGCTTTTTTCAGCACCAGGTACATGTGTGTACTTTTTACGATCACTCTACTTCAGCCTCTCTCTCATGCACACACACACTCTCCTCTAGTGAAGATCAAACCAAGTTTGACATTATGCAACATTAAACAAACACACCCCGAGTTTGGGAAGTGCTGTGTAGTGTGTTTTAATTGAGTTTGAAGCCTCGATTGTGGCTCAAAAAAATCGTTATTATTAATTGGTTTTTCTTGTATATATATATATATATATATATATATATATATATATATATATATATATATATATATATATATATATATATATATATATATTGCAGCTTGTTAGCAAAAGCTGTTAAACTACAGCCAGGTTCTTTAGAGCAGATGTCATCACAGTTACCAAATGTCCCATTTAGTGTGAAGTTCACACAAACGTACGGTTAACTCATTCTACTTATAGTGCTGATGGTGCATGTGATAGTTAAACCTGCTTTAATGTAAGGATATAGAGGTGCTTTTAAATCCAGCTCCATAAGGTCTGTAAACTGCAGGATGAGGAGACAGAGGGACATCTGACCTGCCACCAGGGGCTGTGCAGGTCAGCACGAATTAGTTCAATGATGTCACCAGTCTGGATGCTGAGCGCCTGGCCAGAGGCGGGGCTCGGTACTCCGAAGTAGTTCCTGATGACCAGCATCTTGGGCAGACCTGGAAACAGGAGGAAGTAAGTGAGAGGAGGAGGAATCAGAACTTCAAAGATGTCCTTACACTGAATTTAATGTTATTGTAAACGTTTAGAACCAATTAAAATGTTTAAGTAAATGAAGCTAGATTAAAAACAAGATTGTGTTGATGGCTAGCATTATTAAAACACGTATCTATTTAAAAGCTAGGAGAACAATTATGAAATCCAAGATCTTAAATTCTTTTTCAAATTTGACCCTAATGATGTGTCTGAATAAGGATGAGATTTAGCGCTGTTAAACTATTCATAGACCTTAACGACAGGAAGACAAAAAGAGCCTCCACCACACACACACACACACATGCATGAACACACCCTTTATCGAATCAGTTGGAACCATTATTCATTTTTCTATAAAAGATGAGCAACAGTGCACCCTGGTGCACGACCGGCTCTCTGGCATTTAGATAAAAGATAAGCAGGAGAGAGATTTACAATTTGCATTCTGGGGAGATGGAGTTGTGTATTCGCAGAAGAAGAAGACGTGACAATCAAGAAGACAAACAGGAAACAGGAGGCAAATGATGAAAAAGTCAACAGCATAGCGCTGAGAGCTAATATGTCTCTATCTGCACGGGTTTCCACTCAGCATCTGCTCCAGAGCTGCAGCCTGACATGTGCCATCCTGCCTCAATAGGACTTCTAAAGAACATGAGCCAAGGAGAATCCAGTCCTGCGGGCACGAGCGGCATTCCTACACACACACGGACGACGTGCTAGAGTCTTTTAGTTTAGACAAAGAGTGAAGCGTTATAATATCGTAAAAAAAAGAAAAGGAGAAGGCTGAGGCAATCAAACGCCTATTGATTTTAAAGCGTCTAGAGTCAGAAATCATTTTCTGCTGCATAATGGATGGAGGGTGGAAAAATGGGTGTTGAAGGCAGATTTAGAAGCGATTAAAGGGCCTCGGTACAGCGTGAAAACACACACACACACACACACACACAAACACACACATTCTTTTGCTGTAAAATAGACAGAAACTAAATAGGAAAACTGTTTTAAATCCAGTTAAAATGTTTTCCTTTGAAACTGTTAACCTCCATCTTTAGTCTGGCCTGTAAAACCGGTTGGTTACGTCTCTTATCAGAATTAATTTAGTGTTTGATCTGTGAACAATTCCTCCAAAGGAGAAAGTTAAACACAAATGCAAACAGTTCTGCTCAAAACCAGTAACCTCACAATTGTGACTCATGCACCAGTTCAACGATTCAAACTGAGAGTGTGTGTTTCCTCTCCTTATATCGTGTCACCCACAGCTGCATACCAGTGATGCATTCATTTTGTGACCTTTACTACAATTTCTACCTAATAACGTAGTCTGATCTGTGCAGATAAACACAAACAGTAAGAGATCACATGCAGGACGAGTGCAGGAGACAGATGAGTGTCATGAGGGGTCTTACCTGAGTCTTTAGCTTTACCCTGCAAACACACACACACACACACACAGTAACAGTCAGATCAGGCCGTGCACATTCACAAACATAAATGTGACAGTTTGATTGATCCACAGAGAGAACACTAATCACTGACAAGAGACTAATATCCAGTCCTACATATGTAAATGGAATCAATCATTAGCTTCTCTCTGGTGTTGGACTGGTGGTAAATATTTAACGCTAGCCTGCTCTTCCCGGAGGCCCGCCTAGCAGGACTCATTCCTCTGCAGCAGGAATACTGTAACACTGTAACACAGCTGTTCCTTTACAACACACTGCTGTGTGTTGTGTGTGTGTGTGTGTGTGTGTGTGTGTGTGTGTGTGTGTGTGCACTGCTTCAGATCAGCTCCTGCTTGAGTTTTATTTAGCACTTTAGGTGGAAATCAAACGCCCCTCATTAGCTTGCACGCAGCACTTGACAGCAGGAGTCTTATTTGCAGTTTGGAGTTACTTGAAAATGTTGTGAAGGTAAAACGGCGAAGCAGCACAAACGAGGCGGGTTAAATGTACAGGAAGCATTTTAGTCTCTGGCATCAGGCGTTGCTGCAGACACTAAAGTCAATTGGAGTCTCGTTGGCAAACAGCTGCAGAGGAGAGGAGCCTTCAAAGTGCAGCAAAGCTTTACAGAGACAGACAGTAAGGCAGCACACACACACACACTCACACACACACACACACACACACACATACACGCACAGCGGCAGCTCACCTGAGTTCTGACGGAGCTGGAATCTGAAAGAAGTTTGAGAACAGGCATGGTGAATGACGGGTTAGTGGGCAAACACTTGCACACACTCATCTGTACAAAGCAACACTCCATCATTAGTGGAGGAGGCTGACGCTCGTGTCTGACCGCGGCTCACTTTGTTTTGTTGCGCTGCCACGACCTGACAGCCCAGAGAGAGGAGGTAACGAGGAGGAGGAGGGAGGGGAGGGAGACCTGTGGTTTTTGCTCCACCGCTTTCTTTCATTGGCTCCCTTAGGAATGGATTACACCCCCCGCTGAGAGGCACACACACAAAACACGCCCTTGTGCGTGCACAAACAGAACCATTACGTAAACACTCACATGCTAGCTGGCAGAAAGCCCCAACTAGGAGCAGCTTAACGTAGCGTCTGTCAGCAGGCGCGTTGTTCCTAAAGTGAACTTTGACCCGTTGTCCAGACAAGCAGTGAGAGAGCTGATAGAGGAGATAAAGACAGGTAAACAAACCTTATCGTTCACACAAGCCTTCAGTCTCAGACTCTGATTGCGTGTAAGTCTAGATTAGAAAGTCGAGCACTGATGTGCAAACTTCAGTTTGGTCCATTTCTCTGTATAATAACGAAATACTGAAACCAAACAGATTTCTTTTATTTATTTATGTTTTGCAGGTGAGAAGATTTATGCACTAAATTTATCTTTGCAGCTAAACTTTTTGTTTCTAATTGAAGGTCTCAAGTGCATTCCAGGTCTGTGCTCCTGCAGCAGGTGACCGTTGCTCCGTCCAACCCTCCAGACTCCAAAAACACAACACCTGTGTCCAGGTGGGCTTGCTGCTGGGATTATTGCCTCGTTGACCTGATAACATCATGAGGGATTCGAGCACCAGCAGGAGATGGCAGCTAGCCACGGGGAAAACAAACACCCACTGATAAAACGACGACGGGCACAGTTCAGCTCCAGTGTAAAAATGTTTTTACTGCAGCAAGAAGCTGATTGTGCATTTTGAAGAGCTGAAAACTAATCCTCCACACCTACAGATGCATGTTTTTGTACAGCTTGGGTGACACACCGTCTCTCGTAAACATGTTGTTGACATGGTGAGGTGTTTTCCGAAGACCAGTTTTCTCTCTACAGGCAGAAATCTGAGTGACAGATTCACAAAGACGTCATCAAACATTTCTTAAAATTTGGGGGAATTCCAGATGGTGACCCTCCCTTTAAGATGCTTTGAGGTGTGAAAAGCTCCCAGAGAGGCAGTGGGATGAATATCTATACACATGTCGCACATGCACCTATCGCGTGACCTTATTTGTTGAAATGAGGTCATGTTTAAAGTTCTTATCAAACAGGAGCAAATCCCACAAAGCCAATTCTGTCTCCTACATTCGTTTTATAGCGTCACACAGCAGAGCCGTATTCAACGCCGCAGCGCAGGAAATCCTCCACATTCACCTCAGGACGCCCATAGGTGAGGTTTTATGTGCAATCTGTGGGACACACGTCACTGCCTTAGTGTTCTGCTATAAAACCGCTCTTCTGCTAAAACAATCAGATTTAAAACACCTTTCCCAGACACGTTCTGCTCTGTTGGTAAAGTACAGCACAACTGATGTAAGGCTGTGAGCCGGACTCACCTGTTTTTCCACAGACGCCAAAGCGGCCGAGGCATTCTTTATGGGCGCCTAAACCACACTTGGAGCACAGGTAACCCTGGTTAAAGATGCCCCTGCAGACACAGCAACAATATCAGCATTCAGCACATTACACACACACACACACACACACACACACACACAATGGTAGCAGAGAGCAACTTCTGCAGAGCTTCAGGCAGAGTGGATATGAGACTTTCTGTCGAGTGTAAGAGGACCAACAGTTGTGACTGCCAGCTGTGTGGTTGATATTTTAGATGACAGGGCTCAGGAACACAAGCTGCAACTCACACTTCAGCAAAACCTGCAGTCTGAAGAGGTTAACCCACCCAAGTATCACTTAAACGTCTTCAGCGTCAACCCTGACAAATGTATTTGGGTAAGAGTGAGCGCGGGTGTAGAGCTGTTATCTAAAAACTACACAGTCCTGGAAAAGTTTGGTAGGGACCATGATGGTCAGATTACTCTAAAACTTCTCCATTTTCTTCTCGTTAAGAAGTTGTTTATTAAGAGTTATGACTGGGTTCAGTGTTCAGGTTTTGTTTTACTCTTTATAGGATGGTGATGTTAACTTTTTGATCGGAACTGTACAATCACACTCCCAACAGTTGCAGTCCCTTTCCTCTAGCTTTATTGCTAAATCTCTGGTTCTTGCCCCCGTTTCCCTCCACCAGTCATTTCTCATGCTGTTGGTTTCCTACACACTTATCCCCCCCTCTTGTCTGTATCCTGAGTCCAACTACAAACACGCAATGTGACGTAAACCCAAATCATGATGCAGCCTCCACCCTGTTCCACTGTAGCTATGGTGTTGTTTGGGTGGAGTGGAGTCTTGTTCCTACACCAAACATATGGCAGCTGAATAGTTAAACGAGTGTGTTTTTTATTCACTATAAGTGTGTGAACGGAAGAATTTCACACCATCGTGCGGCTCTGATTCAGTTTCCGAATCCCCCATTAAAGAGATAAAATGAAAGAGTTTTCCAAGCTAATTATCTGCTTAACCTCTGTGAAAGAAATGAGCATAAAGTCAACATGTTGGAGCGGTTTTATTATTACAGAGCTTCTCTGGAACAGAGGGAGGGACTCCTGCACACAGCTCAAGTATTTAATTACAATGTTTGGCTTCAGCCTCACTAATTAATGTTCTTTGCCCTCATGGAGACTGACTTTCTACTCAGTGTTGCTTTAAAAGTTTCATTTCTTTAGTTTTTCACACAAATATGATCTAAAACATTAGACTTCCCTTTATTTAAAAGAGCACAAAGCACCAGATGAATCAGAGCTTCAGCTGAACGAGTTTCATTAACAACCAGAAAGAAAATGAACTAAAAATAGAAAGATCTCATTAAGAACAAAGACTGAGAAATTTCAAAGTAACAGAAAAATTCTATTATGTCAAAGCTTGAATTAAGTCGTCGTCCCCCCCCCCCCCCCCCCACCCCACCCCCCCCACCCCCCCCCCCAGTGCTAGCACTCAAACTCAAAAAGGAAATGGTAATTCACACAAAAAAATGTTTGAGTAAAACTTTTTTCTTTGGAAGAAAAACTATGACTCCAAAAGATTCAAACAACAGATTAATAGACAAGAAGGGAGAGCAGTGGGTGTGCTCCAATTATAGGTGATAACACTCCTCAGCCTCTCCGGGAAGGTCTACTCTAAGGTACCGGACAGGAGGGTCCAGTGTCCAGGGGTGGGGGGTGGGGGGAATATTGCATTAGCTGTCAAAAGGATTACTTTAATGTTCGTGATGCGTTTGAGCTGCTGTCCCCAATGTCCGAAACTAATAAAGACCTGAGTCCAGACCGCTTACGGATTTGTTTATTCTGGAGAGGGCTAGCGTGTGTGTGTGTGTGTGTGTGTGTGTGTGTGTGTGTGTGTGTGTGTGTGTGTGTGTGTGTGTGTGTGTGTGTGTGTGTGTGTGTGTGTGTGTGTGTGTGTGTGTGTGTGTGTGTGTGTGTGTGTGTGTGTGTGTGTGTGTGTGTGTGTGTGCTTGTGTGTAAACACTATAACTGTGATTAGATAGGAACCAGGAAGTCAGTGAAAGCTAATAGCGCTGTGTGGAGAAGGCTCCTGAACCCCAAAGACGAGTTTTCAGAAAGATCTGATTCAAAATGAGCTCCTTTCAATGGGTTTAACTGATTTTAAATGTGACTCCATTGGTGATGATTCTGGGTTAGGAGTGTTGTGATTTGTCCCCCTCTGCCATTCTCTAAAAACTGTTTCTCCCTCTCCACTCACTCCATCTTACCGAGAGAACGCTCAGACGACTCAGAAGCATAACTCAGCCCTGTGTGTGAGACGGTAAAGGTTGCTGTATGAAAGCATCTCATCCTCCTCCTTAAGTTTCTGAAGGAGATTTATGTGCTGCTGCTGTGTGTGTTTGTGAGGTGTGTTTTGAGTGTGTGTGGAGAATGTTCAGCTTCTTACCTCAGCAGCATGTGGCAAGAGTTGCAGGAGGTGATTCTCTCAAATGTGTGCATTCGGAACTCGTGGAAATTGTTGGTGGCATTCTCAGGACGAATGTTTGATCTGAAACAAGAACAAAAACAGAAGCAACCATGTGAGACATGAATTTAACAAACTTTCTAAAGGACAACAGACTTTTCAGGTCTGAATCCGAACCAAGAACAACACACAGGAAGAGAATGGATGAATGAAAACAGCATTGTGCTTGTTACTCAGGTTGTCTCCGTCTCTAAACTGCTGCGCTTGATAAAAACGTCAAATCCTAGAGCGGAAAGCAACAATTTTGATTTTTTTCTACTTATAATTGCAGCAGACAAACTGTCCCGTGGCCACGGTAACATTTCACCGATGCGCTTCTTTGAAGTGGGAAGAATAGAACTGTGAGAAGACAGGTGAGCTTTCTCCAAAAGTAGAGGCTTCTTGTGCCCCTGGGGACAGAGCTGCAAGTGTGTGTGTGTGTGTGTGTGTGTGTGTGTGTGTGTGTGTGTGTGTGTGTGTGTGTGTGTGTGTGTGTGTGTGTGTGTGTGTGTGTGTGTGTGTGTGTGTGTGTGTGTGATGTGCAGGAAGGCAGGAGACAAACAAAGACAGAGGAAGAAAATTAAATAAAAGAAATTGTCCAGGTTTATCTCTGCCTGTCTTCTTTTGCTTGCAGCGCTGCAGCAGCACAGACGTGATGAAATGGTTTACATGTGCTACAACAGAAAATGAAATAATTAGTGAGACTGAGGGACTTCAGCTGGAAACCAGCAGGGCAAACAGAGGGAAGAGTTTGTTGGTTTTCAGAATCAGAATCAGAAAAAGCTTTGTTGCCAGCGCTCCAGCGAACCAGAGCATAGGAACTTGACTCTGCAGCACAGCCTGACCAAGGTTACACACACATATGTAGACAGAACAGATACAGGCAGACCACGAGAGCAGCCATAACGGAGCTCATTTCAATTAGATGAAAAGGGGATTACATGAGGATAAATTGGGGGAGGGGAAAAAAGGCATACCAGAGTTACTCCCGGCAGGGCGTAGCTTTACTATGCAAAAAACCCACCTCAAACATGTAAGCACGAACATCAACAATTCACAACATGAGACACCAAAAGGAGGGGGGGTGGGGGGTGGCTGGGATCCTGTTTCCCCAGCGAGAGCAGCCCTGTATGGCGCTCAGCCACTGTAGCCACAGGTGGGAGGGAGATCTTGGGAGGAGCGCAGAGCATATTGACACCTGCAGGTTGATGGCCTCGCCAGGCTGAAGTCCACCAATCCGAAGGTGTGTGTGTGTGTGTGTGGGGGGGGGGGGGGGGGGGGTCGGGTTTTCACAGCATCTGTCTGCATTCCTTCGTGGGGGTTTGTTGTTGGCACTCACAAGGCTGCCATGGCGTCAGATTCGGATAACAAGACTTTGTTTGGGTCAGGCTGAGATAATTTTCCTCTCTGCCTTGAAGTCTGTAACTGATCATTCAAGTCCTCCAGTGAAGCCAATTCAGGTTTTTAAACATCTCCACTCCGTCCAGTGACCCTCTCCGAGATGACATCCATTTTGTGCACTGATACCGGTATCGCAGCTAGAACATTGTCCAGCTTACAATTCACCTCGAATAACGTCCCAGTCTGTGAGGTCTCCACACGGACGGTGCTTTCCGTGGGTGCGGGTCGCCCTCCAATCGCTCCCGTCTTCCCAAATTTCCAGAAAACCAGATATCCTCCCACTCCAATCAGAAGAAATCCAGTGATCATCAGGCCTAATTTCCACACATCTTCGACATCCTCAATGGACAACTGAGAGAGGCATACGATCTTCCACTCCCTCCAGGAATCAAGCATATATCCCGCTGTGTGTGTCCCTTGCGCGCAAGTGGGAGCCCATCTATCCATTCTAAAAAATAGGGGTTTTCCAGAAGAAATGCAGAGAAGCGCTCTGTGGGCAGACAGGACAAAGAGCCTTGGGAAAAAAGATAAGGGAGCAAAAGCAGAAGCATCTGTACTCTGCGAGTGCCGGAAGAGAAAAAAAATCACACTGAAAGAATCACATTGTCTTTAACTTCAAATCCACAGAAATTCCTGTAATTGTCATGTTCTGTGTCCCTTTGTTCCCCAGCCCCTCCAGTTCCCACTCCAGGTTCTCCTTTTGTGCGCCCTCATGTGTCCTTTGTCTGCATCTCATTTATGTGTCTCCTGTCTATTCCTTTTGTCTTCTCCAGTCACCCCTCTGCAGCCAGTCATCCTCTGCAGTGTTTATAGTTTCAGCTTTTCATTTTTATTAGTCTCTTTTATATGTTTTGTCCCACCGGTCTTCGTAGTTCTCCTTCCCTTTAGAATTTTAGTTATATGGTTGCTTTTCTGTTTTTAGGTTCACTCTTAGGTCATGTTAGTTTCTTCCCTGATTAGTCATTGCTTTCACCTGGTCCTCCCCCCACACTCCACACACCTGCAACTCATCTGCCTCCCATTATGCCCCAGTGAAATTTAAGCCCTGTCTTGTCTCTGTGTCTTGTCGGTCCATTGTTGTTTGTCAGCGGTGTTTTGGTGTTCTGTGTAAGTTTCCGGTCTCGTTCCCAGTCTGTGCTCTAAGTGAGCTTTTTTCTCCTGTTCCTGGATCTTTGGTTTTTGGCTCCCTGCCTTTTTGGATTTATTTTTATTTTGGACTCATCCTAAAATAAAAGGATTATCTTTACATCAACTCCTGCCTCGTGTTGTTGCGAGTCCCCACATGCCAAAGACAGTGGCAAGCTGAAACACACTGGACTGGCTTGTGCGAGCAAAATCAGCCAGCCGACAGGAGCTGGGCTGCAGGTCAAAAAACTGTGGTCAGAAACAAGGGTCACACAAGGGTCACAGGGACAAGAGGACAGAACTGGGCGAAGGGTCAGGAGACTGACCCCACCTCTTTGCCCCACCCCTGGCTTGGAAAGATGGGATTGGAGGAGAACAGAATGAAGACAAGCCCATCAGATCCAGAAGCCCTCTCGGGAACATTGGAGAGAAACTGAAGAATGCTGCAAAAGATGATGTAATGACCTGTGTTAAGAAGAATGCTGCATGTAGTGAAAATGACACCAAATGTTTTGTGTTGAGCTACAAAGTGTGTATCTGGTAAATGACCCCATGACCTTAAGCTGGTCCAGGTAGGGTATATAAGAACAGCTCTGAACAGCAGATAGGGATTGAGAGATTCGACAGCAGTTGGGGCAGAGGACAGAGAGGAGAGCAGATGGGGAGGGGTCATCCCCCGTCCAAACTTGGATGGGGGATGACAGAGAGAGAGACTAGATGAGTTCTTGGGGAGATTCTGAGAAGACAAGAGCTGGTGTAAACTAACTCTTATTTAATCATTTTGAACTAATTCCTCCGTGGGGGATAGCAGTTGTTTTTCACTTTACCCATTTTTGTATTTTGATTTTGTAATAAACCTTTTTTGAAAAAGAAACATAATCCTGATTCTTTCAGGTTTTCTCTAAAGCTTCACGTTTGGGGCCCTGGCCATAATTGCACAGAGGTAAGCTTATCGATGATCGGTCTCTGAATTATCGGGACTTACTTTACAGTTTATAATAGAATAATATAAAGAAACCTTAAGATAAGGGAAGTTTTAACTTCCCCCTCCTTGCGAGTAACGAGTTGTCTTAAGGGCAATAAAAGCAAAATATTCGAGGTTATTTTGGCTCTGATTGCAGGTTGAAAAAGTCTCTAATCCGCTGGAAGGTTGGATTAATAAATAAATTGATAAAATTATGATAGCCTGATCAACTAGCATAAATCATTTTATAGTTACCAACCTCCCACATAAGCTGTTAGAGGCGCAATTAATTCCGGGTAATCCAAACAATTGCTGAGAGGCTTGGCTTGCCTCCAGACTTCTCTCTAGTATCTTAACCAAAAGGTAACGAGTTTAAAAGAAGTGTAGTACTCTGGGGCTGGCTATTCGTACAAGTCATTTCACCTTTAACATAAAAGACAAGATTCTAATTAGATGGTCCAATCCAGGATCTAGTACAATTATACTCGCCGACATCCCCCCGAACCCTGATGGATGCACCGTCTCATAAGTTCTAACGGAACTGGGTTTTAAAGGAACCGGTAAATGGGACGGGCACGCGACATGGCGCACCAATGTGGGGCTACAGAGCGAAGGTTCAAATATTAGATACCGGACTATTCGACGTAGAACTATGTCTTTTAGGCTGATAAAAGCTTACGCACCATGGACCTGATACGCTTATAACCTTGGAGTGAAAACCGCACCAATTTCTCGAAAAGGAAAGAAATTTGGGAGAACGGAAGATTAACTCAAAGAGGTATAAAGAAATCACGGCTTTCCGACGTTGTGAGGTTCTGTGTGTGTGTGTGTGTGTGTGTGTGTGTGTGTGTGTGTGTGGTTCCTCACCTCTTCTCCTCAGGTGTGACAGGCAGGCCGCACCAGGTGCCATTGATCAGAGGCAATTAAGGTGGAGCACTTAAAGCTGGCCGGAGGAGGAAAGCAGATGCCAGATGATTAAGCCACACAGCTTGTCGTCCCGACCTTCTGAGTTCCCAGGATCTCCCAGCGTCTTCCCTGAACCGTGGTGTCTGCTTCACCCAGTGCTCCTCCTGGCTGCTGTGCTTCAGCCTTTTCATCCACGCCCTGTTGGATCCTCCTCTTCTCCACCTGCCTGTCCACCCTCGAGCCTCCAGCAAAATCTCAACCTCAGCCTGCCACACTCCCACACTGGACCTCACCTCCTCTCCAAACACTCCTCGCCACGCAGACCAGTAAGCTCACCCCCTTCAATTCTTTTATCAGAACAGTCTCCTTGCTCCTCGACTCACCTTCTGTTTTCCCCTTCAGAACCGCCTCTGCAAACCCGTCCAGAGTTCCTCCACCATTTTGAGAACCCGCTGAACTTTTCAATAAAACTGTTAAACTTTCTCCTGTGTCCGGGTGTGTTCGCTCCAGAGTCTCTTAGAATCATGACAGAATCATCTGGCCATTCAGACTCTGCGGCACACCTGCGCACTGCTCTGTCCGAACAAGGCATCCTGTTGGGCCGACACGAAACGGCTCTCCAGAACATGTCTCAGCAACAGGATACGTT